TTTGCAATACTTTTCTTCATTGGCAACATACTTTGAACGCGTTTAATGTTATTTATGCAAGCGAGAAATTGAAGAAAATCGTACGGGTGGTGGTGGTGGGGGAAGCAGAGAGCGGGGCCGCTTCGGTCTGCTCGAAATTGAATAGGCGAGTTCAAAACCGCGACGCGCTTAAAAATTTTGAATATCTCAGCTTCTATCGTTAATAATTATTGGTTATACTTCCTTTGATTATCAACTTTATTTTTTTATTGTATCAAAAGTAAGTGCATAAACTTATATACTGTTTATCAAAGATCAAAAACAAATTTATTTAAATATTCTAAAATTGTTTAAACAACAATTATTTTCAAAATATGTCGAAAATTAGTATTAATTACTATTTCTTTTGTGATTAAAGTATAATTCAAATATTATTTACTGTTTAAAATATAAGCAAATGAGAAATTAACTCATATTACAAAAATACAAAATTATAGTACAAAAATTCGACCAATGTTTAAACAAGCCCAGTGCTCTCCTAATTGGCGGATTCGATTTTTTCAAAAAGCGTTCGAAAGCTTGAGTCCTTTTATATGTGAATAAATTTTCAAGTATCTAAGGGTCTTAGTTTTTGCTGTGCAAAATTTTGAAAATTTGAATTTTTTTTTCAAAATCTGGATTGCAAAATTATTATGCAAAATTTATCTAACCGATTTTGATGAAATTTGGTGTGATGATTCTACATAACATGAAGTTTTCTTGAGACAAGTATGAAAGTCCCAACCCAATTTAAAGACCTCAAAAAGATTCCCTAAAGAGTAATGTTTTTTAACCTCATTTTTGGCGACTTTTTCGATTTTAACAATAATAATCATGATTCATTCGATTTGTAACTAGTCATATTGTGTAAAATTTAATTACAAACATTTTTTTCCTCTTCCATTTTCGCCTAAAATCAACACTTGAAAAGATATATGATTAAATAAGAAGAAAAATATGACATTTTTCGAATTTTTTTAACATATTGTACCGCCAAATGTTAAGCCCACGTTTTTTTTATGCGCATAGGAAAATTTCCATTTCTAGTGATATTTTAAGGCCAAAAAGCCAAAAATCTCCGTGAATATGCGATTCACCCAAATATGGCTTTTTGAAACAGATACCGTCTGGACTATAGAGGATGGGCCAAATTCTGTTGGTCTGTTAGTGTTATTATACGAACGAACGAAAATATTGTAAAAACACACCGAAAATTTTCTAAAACACTGTAAGTTACATCGGAAATTTACAAAAATTCTGTAAAAATACCCAAACCAATTTTATAAACAAACAAAAAAGTGTTTTCAGTGCGCCAATATTTTTATTGTGAGGTAAGTCACGCGAGCCCCGTTCCAATTCCAACCGTTGTGTGTACGCGGGGGGGTGGTAGTGTTCCGTATTAAAACCGAGAATATTAATAAAAGCCTTCGCCACCACTCTCATCAACGATCCGCCGTCCGTCCACCGGCGACCCCGTTCCAACCCCCGGCCACCGCCCCATCCAATTCGTTTCGCCCTTAGGAACAGACGGGAGCGTAATCCGCGACCGACAACAAAACGCAACAATAGCGGCGTTAATTTCGAATCCATCCGTTATTAAAAGTGGAAAATATAAAAGCGACCCGCCGGCAAATCCCATTAGGCGGCGGCAATACGGTTTCTCGGAAAAATCTTATCGCTACATGGAAATTTATTAACCGCCACGTGTGTGGAAGGGGGGTGAAATGGGGTGTAATGTTTTTAGGTTGAATACAGGGTTAAATATAACATTTATACTAAATATAAACTAATAATATGGAAAAATTGTTGCAAATAATTTTTAATTGGGAAAGGTACACGGAGAAAACGCGGTATTGTCGGCTCTTGAATCTTGTGGTGTTTTTTGACGTAATTTTTTGCCCTGGTCATAAAAATGCTATGCTATTATGTCAATATTTTGAGATATTAAAAACCAAAAGCCATTTTGACATGTTTTTGAGTTTATGACACTTCTACTTGAAAAATTTTTAACTATATTTGACTGACTGACTTTGTAACAAACAATGTTACTATTTTTGGGGGTTTATTTTAAGGCTAGTTCTTTGTTTTATATGTACTAAACAAAAAAAAAATAAAACAAATATATTAATATTAAAGTGTATTAGTTTTAATGAAATCAAATAGAGGGCTTATCATTGGACACACAACAGTTCTCTCCGTGTAGATATACCGTTTTACACTTTACTGTGAATAATAAGGAAAATAAAGTGAAGTGTTAATTTTACAGGGTAATGAGTAATAACCGACGTTATCGCCAAACAACCTATTTTTAACGGGTTTCATTTTTATAAAAGTGGAAAATTGTACGCTGGCTAATGGCTCCGAAATAAAAACGGTGTTAATCCATCTTCTGGCAGGCTGCCAGGAAACGTTAATAGAAGCAAAGGTCGCCCGATAGGGCTGGCGTTTTAAAATAATACGTTTTCGGAATATTTTCCGGTCTTTGTTTAAATTTTAAATTGAAGTTTTTAATTGGATCTTAATAAAACTAAAAGTCAGCATGATGATAAGCAAAGCTGATCTTGCTCTTCTCCAATTTTTAAATCAAATTTATACAATTGAATGTTCGACCAATTGATGCTAAATGGAAAATAGTACAATGCATATTTAGATAATTTAAAAAAAACAACGATCACTGAAAATCACTGAAAAATATTAAGGAGGTTTATCCGATTTGGAATTGACGAACAAATATTCATAAAAAATTAATATAAGCTTATTAATATGAAGAAAATCCTCAAAAAAAAATTATGAGTAGTTTGGATACCTAAGAGACGAGATATTAATAAAATAATTTTTCACGATTTAGTATGAAGTCTTATGAGAATGCAGATTTTTTTTTGGTCTTTCCACTTAGAATGCGCAACAATTGACGAACAGTTTCCACAGCAACTTGTATAAATAGACCACCGATATCTAAGGAACCGTATGACAGCTCGTAGAAATCGATTAGGTACTTGTAAGATACATAATTTATAATAATTCTCCTTCAAACTGCTGTCGTTGACTAACTTATCCTCCATATGCGTGATAGCGGCAACGCCGCCGTCTCGATGTAGCGTATTATTTGAAATTCGCAGATGTCCAAACAAGTGCAACGTTGCCAAATTTAAACGCTTTCTACTTTAGTCACTAGCGAATCTACAGAAACTTTCGACTTTAGATGGACCTCCGTACCCGATAAACTCGTTAAACTATGGCTCTTTACATAATTTAAGGCGTATACTAAATTTCGACCAAAAAATGTCTTAATATTTCCAGTTTCAATCATTACTATTTCGTAAATTATTTATCATTATCTGCCATGTAAATATGTATTTAACGAAATATATCAAAAATTATATAATGGCCGCTATAAAATTTGCATTAAAAAAGGAACACTTTAATTTATGTTTTAGAAAAATCTTTTTCTCCTATTAGTACACTGTAAAAAACTGTGAGTGAAAGCAATAAATGTTCGGAGTGAATCGATCGAGTGAAATTATTGAGTACATTTTCACTCAATATTGGATATTTTGATCATTTTACTCATTTGTGATTATATTTAAACTAAAACTGAGTACTTTCACCCAAATATATATATCCTTTAATAGATCCTCACGTAAACTAGTATTTGGTGCACTTGCACCTAAATCAGAGTAAATGTACTCATGCCAGGACAGGAGGAGGCCCCGCGAAGTGAATTAATTTCAACATTGTATATCCTCATTAATCATTTATGAGTGATTTATTTTTGAACTCAAATCAATATTTAGTTCATTAAAAACCACGTCTGAGTAAAAATGACTCAATAATAGTAGAGAAAAAGTCAACTCTAAATTGGTTTTATATACTCAGAATAGTCAAAACTCGCTCAATTGATAGTTAGAAGTAATTCGGATATGAATAAAACTCAGAGATTGATACATTATTGATTGAAATTGAGGTTTTTTTTCACTGTAAGTACTGTAACAAAATACGTGTGAAATTTTTGGCTATATTCTAAATTAAATTTGTCCTAACTAGCATTGAAATTATTAAATAATGTACTCTTTCAAAGAAATATCTCGTTTTCTTTTTGCTCTAATATCACTCTTGACAAAGACAACATGTAAAAATAACCACGATGGAACATTTTATTTAAATGTTATTACACTGTACATAATTGTTTATAAAATATAAAAAGCATATGAAAAGTGCACAAATAAAGTTTTTATTTTGACTCAATACGTGTGTTCACTTGAGTTATAATCATTTTAATAATGCTCAAAATTGGTTAAAATGGCTGTACCTCTACAAGGAGGCATTTTAGAGAAAAAAGTGCAGGAATAAAAAGGTTTTATTTTGACCCTGTTCAAGTTTGTTTAATTTCAAAATTTTAAATATTTCAACGAAAATCGATATTTCTACTGATTTAGTTCGAGCTATTTTTTGAGGTTAGAGAAAAATCCTCACGTGATGGACCATTTCTGATGGCCACATCGTCTTCAGCGGGTCAAAATACAGGAAGGTCATACTATGATAAACAATATACGAAAAAAATTGTTCTTTCATTGTGTGCGTGTGTTATTAATGACAGTCGACAAACGAATACAGTTTGCAGAGATAGGCGCAGTAAAATTAATAGTAGTAGCGAATTTATTTTTCAGTGACAACTGGAATTAAAAAAAAAAATCATAAAAATTTAAGAAAAATATATAGTTTTAGATTTTCGAGAATGGTATGCACATTGGATAATTAGCAAAAAAATGGCGATCGCCCTGTACAAAATGCCGAGCCTCTCGAGTCCGGCATCAGAGGAGAGCCGACTTAACCACGTCCCATATCTCCTCTCACTGCGGCAGACTCTAAATTACCGGCAACATTAAAAAGTGACAAAGGAATTAAAACACGGCATTTACATAGCACCATTGTTCCGGCTAATTATACCATGCAAATTAAATATAATTTGTGTGTTGACTTACCATGACGTAGTGCCGTTGCATTTCAGTCTTTTCGCTAGCTAATTTTTCACATTCTAATTTTAACCTGAAACGAAAATTAGTGTGCAATTAGTGAGGGGTTAATTAGGTGTGCGATTTTTTTGTTGTGGGGCTAATTCTACATGTACCGCTTGGTACTTACTAACAGTTTTGACTCGAATAGAGATATCAAAATATGCGAAAAGTTAAGTGTACTTATTGGAATAAAAGGTTAACCTTTCACATATTTATGGTCGTTCTAAACAGTCAAAGAAGTTTATGAATTAATTAATGAAGTGAATACACAGTCCAATTTTTATTGTAATTACTTAATGAATAATTTCAAGACAATCAAGACCAATTTAATTCAAGTTTAATGATCAGAAACATATTTTTAAACAAAATGTATTTAGAATTCACTAGAAAAATTAAGGCTAATTTCAATTTCCTCATAAACTTATTGACAATTTATTACACAATTTAATTAAAAAATTTATCAATTTCTTTGACTGCGTAAAAGGGCCATTAGGTAAGAATTTTTAATGAAAATCTTTCAAGAATAGTCAATAAAAAATCCGGCCTAAAGATGCTTACTTAAATAAAGAATTTTGTGAAATTTGACTTTTTCTTCTTTTATTCTAATATGAACGAACATACAAAGGATTTACCTGTCTATAAATATTTATTAATTTGGTTTAACTGTAGTGGTTGTTCAGTTAACAAAATATGTCGTGTCGTTCAAGAAATTCTTTGTAAACATAGGCGTAGCTAGGGGGAAGCAGGGGTGTGCACGGCCCACCCCAGAAGATCATTAGATCATATCGGCATATCGGTAAGTCACTGACTACGTGATCTTTTTATTTTAGAATTAAATCAAAATGTGTTTAGGTTTTTGAAATTTTATTCGGCACGTTGCTGACTGCGAGAACTATTTTTTTTGAGGCTCCATAGAGCTTACAGCCCTGAGACCACCCCAATCAAAAATTCTAGCTACGCCCATGTTTGTGAATGGTCATTTTTGTAGTGTTATTTTTAAGAAAAATTTTCCTACCGCCACTTTCGAATATAAATCTATTTGACCCATGTTTCAATTCACAGAAAAAATGTAGTATAAAAAATTATTAAGTAAATATATAATTTTAATTTGTAATAAGCAAATAAAAATTTTTCAAAAGTGGAGGAAAAATATAGGCATGTTATGTAACATTAAAACATTAAGTTAGTAGTAAGAACTTAAACTAAACTTGAATGAAATAAAAGGAGGATTAATACTATACAGGGCGATTCACAACTTATCCCAAAAAATTTGGCAATAGGTGCGTCATGAAAAATGGAGTATCGTAATAAAATTTTTTGTAAAATCTATAATTTCCTAGGAAAAAGTTATTGAACCCTCAACCTACTCAACCCTAACATCGTTGAGCTACTGTAGTCTATAGTGTCATTCGCGTTGTGCGCAATACGCTCTCTCTCCACGTGGCCCCAGTTGTAGTATTTTCAACCTTTACATCACTGGGCTACTGTAGTCAGTAACGTCATTCGCCCGCGTGTCCCCAGGCGAGTCCGAATACTGAAATCCGACTTTAGTATTAACGTTTTTGCGATAGTGTTTATATTAGTTTTTCAAGTATCAAACATGGCTTACGTGTATAGCAATTCGGAGTTAATGGATTTTTAATTTATGGTGGTGTTATAAAATTTTATTTGTTTCGGGTCACAGCCTTTTACAACTACCCCAGTTGTAGAATGCTGTGATCGTGTACTTTTTAAATCATTTTTGAACTGCCCTTTTTGATTTTTTTTTACAAAATTGTACTTGTATATTCAACACAATTTACACAATGCAGAATGTTATCTAAAATCGAGTTTTAATTTTAAGAGGTTATAGTTGATGATAAAATAATGCGTTTCATAAAAGAAAAACCACTAATCAAAATGTACATAAATATGAATTGAAGTTGTGGAATTTTGAAAGCAAGGAAAATGAAAACGTGGTGGGGTAAAAAATAACACCATCATGATCCCCACCTTAAAAACCCGTAGGAAGCTTTTTGCGACCCTGTTTTTCCTCTTTTCGGGTGATTTCGGTATTGCAAGTAGAGTAGTTTCAACCCCTAGGAGTTGCTGATGTCAACTGTCCTTAAATATTAGGGTGGCCCAAAAATTTTTCGTTATTTTATAATTTTCTAGGTTGAAAAAAATCTCGATTCTGAAAATTTCAAATCGATATTTTAATTTCTAAAGGTCACTCATAATTATGTTAATTTTCAAAGTAGTGTAGAGGTCTTTTAATATCTCATGAGCACACATTGACTCAGAACTAGACCATGTGCATCATTACAAGTAGACATGAACTAAGGCGCTCGGGCATCAATAAAGTCAACTGGCGAACGTTCGTTATATATTTTTATTGTTTAAATTAAAATAATAAAGAATAGGGCATTTTATTATGATATTTGTAATCGGATCAAAGGCTTGTTTACGCTAGAGCTCGAGAGAGACTGTGAATAATAGGTGTAATGTTTTTAGGACGTAGAATAATGTAGGCGACGGTTGGAATTATGTTTCTGCGCATATGAAGGTCAAAGCTCATAAGATTTTAAAACATCTCTACCTTAAATGTTTTCGAGCGACTAAAAATAAATATCAACGAACTAACAATTTTTTTTATTGAATTTGATGAACAAAAGAATAGAAATAAATCACGTGACATCTAAATTTAAAAAAATTTAAAAAATATAAATATTTGATACACGCAGTGCGGTAATAAATTTTGCCTCGAGAAATTTTTCTCGTGATTTATTTCTATTCTTTTGTTCATCAAATTCAATAAAAAAAATTACTAGTTCGTTGATATTTATTTTTAGAGGTCGCTGGAAAAGATTTTAGGTGCACTACTTTTAAAGTTAAAATAATAATTTGAAATTTTCAAAATCGAGATTTTTTTTAACCTAGATAGATGATAGAATAACGAGAAAAAAATCAATTTTTGACGATTTTGGAAATTTTTGAAAAATCTTGAGCGACCTCTAAAAAATTTTTTTGAGCTGATCTTTTGAGGGGGCTCTTAAAACATGATAAACTAACATATATTCACAAGAGACACCACCCTATTAAATACATATTTAATTTTCTTGATATTCCATGAAAAACCCGATCCCACGAATCATCGCATGCCCAGGACCAACAGCATGGAAGAGGGGGTGGTTTTTGTACATTGGGGATAATTACGGGAGAGTGGGATGAAAAATAGCACCACTATCGTGGTTCCCCTCCTATGGAGCCTTACAGTCCTTTTTTCTAATTTTTTGAGTATTTTTCTATTGCGAACGGGGGTAAGTTCAACCCCCGGGGGGTCGGTCCGGGGTATGATAGTGTCATTTAATATAATTTACTATTATTTACAAAAAAAAATCCGATCCGACGAGCCCTCGCAAGCCCAAGACCGAGAACCCGAAAAAATGTTGTGGACTTTTGCTCATTGTTTCAATACAGTCTTCAGTTTTTTTTTTACAGTTCCAAAATTAGTTCAAACTTTCTGTCCATACGCGATTGTTTATCTGTAACGTTTTTTCGACGCAGATAAATCCTACCATAAGACGCGGCATGTGGCCGGCGCTTTAGTAAAGTAACCCCAACTTGTCGGCGAGTGCGGCAAATCTCGCGTTTCAATCCGCCGTCGCCTTCGCGAGACCCCAAGATTGATTGCCTACATTCTTGTAGCAGCTACTGCCATTACACCCGGCTGACCAGCCCCGAGCGAGAGCTTACATTCATCAGGTCGGGGGTTCCGAGGCGCGAGTTTGAAAAGAAATCCAGCAACACCCCCGGAAATGAATAACAAACCGGGATGGGGCGCGCGCTTTAAAAAGGGATTAAATGGATTTATGTTTTCCATTAAGGTACCGGTAAGAGGAGTTTTAGCGGGTGGTCTCAAGCAGTGCGGAATTCTAGGGTAAAGACAAATGTGGGTTTTTGATGTACATTTTTTTTGGCAGGAGTCCTAATGTTTATGCGTTGCATTATGCTCAAACAAGGCATTTAGAAAAAGTCTCTAAGTTGATAACATTATAATAAACGAAGCATTTTTGATAACTATACACTAATGCAAACAATTAAAGGGTCAAAAGAATTTCCCAAATTTTTCCATGATTTTTGACAGACTGTATTTAGGTAAAAAATGGTCATATTGGGAATTAAGAGAAAGCATTTTGAAGCTTTAAAATTCTAGTTTTTAGATCTTTCAGTGGAAATTTTTTAAGAGCTACGGTTATCATGCAACTCTTAAGAAATAGCGCGTTAAAAAAATTTTGCAATTTTTTTTTCTGAGTCCACGGACTTGGAAATTTCATCTAAGCCATTGCATGGACCAGATCCCTTGTTTATTCAGCACCAATTTCCTTTTTTTAAATTTAGATACGACCATTTTTCATCGAAATATCGGACTTTTAATGGAAAAGGATCCTTTTGTCTTCAATCATCGATATCTCGGCGACAAATGGTCGTACAGAGAATTGAAGGGCAGTTTCGAAAACTGGAATAAATTTCCTATAATATGCTGGCGTAACATTTAGGAAAAAAATTTTTGAAATATTTTCAATGTAGGTATGTATTTAATTTCAACAAACATAAAATACTATTTGAATACTAAGCAATTTATATTTAAAATACTTTGCCAAAGGGTAGGTATTTTATTTTTAAGTATTTTAAAATACTCTCGTACTGGTATTTTGTAATTTGTATTTTAAATACATTTTGAAACCTCTAAAAATAATATATGTTATGTTTTACTATCTTTTCCCATATTTTTTATATCTTGTTGCCTTCAGCCGAAGTATAGTTTCCTAAATCTTATGGACTGGTGTTAAATTGATAGGGAACCATTATACCAATCGAAAGAGAACAAAATTGTTCATCAGGTTGCGCAAAAGTATACAGGATGTTCCATTTAACAAAAATAAGTTAAGATGGTTTAAAGTTGACTAAATTCAGCATTAAATTTCTACCACCCTGTATGAAATTAAGTCATTTTGAAATCATGACAATCAGCTTAGAGTTTTAGTTATG